TTTTTTTTTTTTTTTTTTTCCCTTAGGCAAATAGCTGCCAGACAGCAGCAATGGAATGAGAACATATGTAGTGTTTGCTTTTATCTTACATTACAAAAGAAGTATGAATACCTTGTGATATTCCATGTATGAAATTACAGGTGTCAAATCATTTGGTGCTTTAGGTGCTGTGCCAAAAAAGTAATCCAGTAAAAATAGCTATGTCCTGTCAAAACTCAGCATTTAGTATTGTTACTACACTTCCTTACTTGTTTGGCTCCAGCAATGTAGGCCTATAGAAGACAAGTGTAAGACCAGCAAGAAACCTGTCTGGAATTGCTCGGAGCACGGAAAGACAGGAGGATGAACTGCAGATAAACCGAAGGGTCCGATGTTAGAATCTGCCTGCTCTGCTTTACGCTTGGTTTGCACTTCAAAATGCTGCTAAGCAAAAGCTATTTAGTATCTCAGAAGGATGGTCCCTTTTCCAGAGGTCCCAAAGAATTAAAGCAAAGGCTAGTGATTCATGCTTGGTTCTGGATAAGTGCATAGCCAACCCTGTGTCCTAAGAAGCCTGCTGTTTAGAGGGGGAAAAATATTTGGCTGGAAAGGTAAAAGAATTATTGCAGCTCCATGTTAGAGGTGAGGGTGCAAACCACAGATTACCATGGCCTGACTGCCTTAGAGGATCAGTGATGGTGTGGCTGGTGCAGACCCCCTAGTTGCTATCAGATACTTTAAATGCAAGACCATCCTTGATGAGCTGAACAAGCCTTTAGAAAAAGATTGCTATGGACTTGAAGTAAGGCAGGAGGTGTCAGAATAGGAGCTTGCACAGCACAGCACCAGTTTTTGATAGGTGAATTTCCCCTCAGCAGAGCATGAAGAGCTGCACGCTTTGTGCTGCTGCCGGAAATTAAGTTAATACTTTTATTGTCCACTCCACAAAAACTGGGTCTGGAGAAAATCTATTTAGTAGATTATTTCCCTGAAGAGGGCAGCGGAACCACCCCATTTAGTGCTTTCTTCAGGCCCCCAGAGCTACAATGAAACCTGGGCAGGGACACGGCCTGGTTTGCTAAATTGGGGCATGCTGCTTCTGTCAGTATGGTTGTTAAGAAGCTTATTAAAGGACACAGCAGCTGACAAGTGAATCTTTAATCCTTGGAAAATCCCTTAAGTTTATGATCAGTATAAAGCAGTTCATGTAAAAAAGAAATTTTTACTCATTACTTAGCGTGTGTTTCCGGATCAGATGTGTTTGCTTTCATGATGATCATCATCACAATGTGTTTTACTTGCAATTTTCGAAGTGAATTTTGGCTGCCTTGAAAAACGTCCCTAAACCTAGCTCTCTTTCACTTCTTTCTTGAAAAACATGGGAGTCATATTCATTGTTCACATTGGTATTTTAAATAATTGGCACCTAGGGTGTGGCAGGCTGCGTACTATAGCACTGAATAGCAGGCCAAATCCTGAAATTAAGAGCCTGCAATTGTGTTAAAACATCAGAAAGTATGGAGACACGTAATGATCTAGAGCTTGCCTGTTCTGGCTGAGATAAAAATAAGGAGTTAACAGTCACATTGGTTAATACACAGAAGAAACTTTTAATTTGGCCACTCTTTTTCATTTGTAAGCCACATGACCTCACCGTATGCAAATTTCTCGTGCTGAAATGAGTAAGCCCCCCCCGTTAGGTTCCTTTTTCATGCAGGCTTTTTTTTCTGTTCTTGTTTCTTTTCTTTTTCCCCTGTGGAAAGACTCTGTACCGAAAAACAGAACAAGCTAGGAAGGATAAATCAGTTCCTCAGTTTCTGAAAAGAAGAACGCTACAGTAGGTCCGTCAGTCAGCAGATCAAAGGCTGCATGTAGTGTGCCTCGGTCCGCTGTAACGTGAGCTATTTGTTCAATAGTTAACTCTAGTTAACTCATATGACTATTCATTCTAAAATAAGCACTGTAGCGCTGTTTGCTCCAAGGCAAATACTTGCTCTGCTACAGTTCTCTCCCGGCTCAGCTGACTGTGATCCCCTTTGCAAGTCCCCAAGTTTTTAGCCTTTGTAGTCACGAGAGTTAATTGCCACTCATTTTGTTCACTTTTCTGCATGACCGAAAGCTTTTATGTCCTTTCCATAGGGCAGAGTGGAAAGACTAGCCTGCGCTAAGGGCCTCTTTCTTAGGCAATATATGATGAATAGTTGCCAAGAAGTGGTCTGCCACATGGATGCTGGCAGATTGGCGGCTGCGCAGCTGCATTAGTAGTTGCTTAGCTGGGCTGGGTGAGCACAGCATTTTGGCCAGTTGGGATGTGCTCCGGGGCCGGCAGGAGATTGGGGTTAGGTAAACTGCAGGGCCACCTGCGAAGGGGCAGCTTGCAGTGGCATCTGGGGACGGCTAGGACGGACCTACTGGCCACGGGGCTGGGGATGTGGGGAGCTGGGCATAGCTGTGATACGGGGCAGGGAGCAAGGAGCAGGGGAAGAAGTTAATAGCAGGCTAAAGCAATTTGTGTAGTAACCAGCTGTGCTCAGCTCCAGCCTCTGGTATTGGGCTGGACTCCCTTAGCTTTGGGTGTGGTTGTGGTAGTAATAGAGGAACATACATTATTGTTTAGCTTTCATATTGGGCCAAGAAAACCAGATTTATCTCCCAGGCCAAAAGCATTGTCCCCACCAAAGTGGATATTCAAATACAGTGATTTTAGAGGTTATGGCCTGCAATAGCAAGAAGAGGAGCAGAGACCACATACTTTTACCATCTCTAATCCCCGGGGTTTTTTTACTCGAATTACGATTTTTTCTTTTCAGCTAAATGGACCATAGCAAAGAGCCTTTCACTGTGTGCTAAGATACTCTGAAGTGCCCTTGTTTCCAAGGGTGACTTTACTGGGGGCAGCAATGCAGTCTCCAAACAGAGTTCTTACGTGTCCCAGTTACAGATTTACTTCCAGCGTTGCTGACAGCATGATTTGTGAAAGAAAAAAGGACAAAATACCACAACAAAAACAAAATTCAACCTACAGCCTGTGCAAGAGAGAAAAAACACAGACTTCTTGTGCTATAGCAGAAGAGTGTCAAATGGAAATAACGTTTCAAAGGAGGAAAACTAGCCTTCATGTACCTGATAAAAATCTTTTTACAAGAATAAGTCACATAGTTGTAACTATTTTTATACTTTATAAGTTTCCTGTTCTATACCTGTGGGATAAGTCTGTGTAACTAGCTGGAGGCCAATTTTAACCTTGGACCATTGAAATCTATTGACCTGTGGTTTGGTACAGAGCTGGCCATTGTTTTGTTTTTTTTTTTTTTCCTGCTTTGAAATAAGGGATATCTGGGAAACCTCAAAAAAAAAAAAAAGGCATGACTGATTGCAACTAGTCATATTTTACTTAGCTGCCTGGTTTTTCAAAGTAACCAGATATTGAGAGGAGAATGTTACTTAATTAAGCAGATGTCAGAAACTCACCGTGATGCTTTTCTACTGACTCTGACAGAGACTTAAGAGAACAGTAAATGCACGTGTAATTCTAGAGCTGTTTCATTCTGGTTTTAGACTAAGCAGCAGTTGCGGAGAGAGAAAGCTGGACAGGGGTGTTCTGCTGTTGAACAAGCAATTTTATTTCTAAAGCAAAGTCTCATGGCAATGCACTGCAGGGCTTATGATTCATAAAGCTGGTCAAGTGCTGAAGGGAGCTGTGTCTTGATTTGCAGCGTGTAAAAACACGAGTTTGCTAATAAATGCATTCTTCAGAGTTACAGCCCAGCACATTCTTAAAAGCAGAGCTCATGGCTTTGTCTTGAGTCCTAGCCTCCAGTGACTGCTGCATACTATACTTTTATGAAAGATGAGGCAGCTTCCTCCTGACCACTTAGTTATATCACCATTACATGGAGAAAAAAATTAGGATAACCCAATCCAAGAGGGGTAAAGCAAACAGCAGCTCATTGCCGTTGACAAAACAGACTTCCTTTAAGTGCGTTTTCAAGTTATTCCGAGTCACTAGTCCTCAAAGGGGTCCATCTCCCCTTCCTTAATGTTGGGAATTTCTAATTTAAATCCAGTCTTGTGAGGAAAAATGTGTTCTCTGTTCTGCAATGGAACGAGTCAAATGTACCTTTAAATTACCGCACACAGTCCTGGCAGGAGGAGCTGAGACCTGCAGAGAACGCGTTGCAGCCGAGCGTGCTGGAGAGCGCGCACCTACAGTAATCAAACAGGATGTGGCCACCAAAATGGTTATGCTTTAAAATAAGTGCTACAAAATAAAAGCGGTACAAAAAATAAAAATACTAAGTGGTGCAAAAAAGTGGTACAGGTGAGCAGACGTATTTTGGTAAGGATTAAGGGTGACATGGAGGAACTGATTTTCCAGAAATGCTAATCAAGGAAGTGTTGATGCACAGTGCATAACTTTTGGTAAAGTCAACGAAATATACAGTTTTGAGGATGTACATCTATTATGTGCTGAGCATAGGAATCTGCCTTCCCCAATTTAGGAAAGACAGTCCTTTCCAATACCTTATCCAGTTCTCTTATTCCCTTCCAATTCCCTTATCAGGATGTGTTAGAAATGTTTTATTTTGTTAACGTGTGTATATGCACGCGTGTTTATGTATGTATGCACGCACATGTATCCCATTAGTAACAGTGAGCATTAAGTATATATATATACACGAGGGATGGAGTAGACTATAAAATTTCCTTGCCATCTGCACAAAGATCAGTCTAGCTTTAAAAATAGTACTCAGATGTTTATGAAAGCTGGACTGGATGGTGATGATGAAGTCTCTTTGGGAGGCAAAGCATTCATTTCTCAACTGGCAAATTTTTTTGAAAGTAAGTTTCTGGTGACGGATTTGCTCTGTTCCAAATGCAAGATTCCAGGTTTCTGGTTCACAGAACTTTTTTAGACCATCACAGAGATTGAGCATAACAAAGGTTACAGTATGGCAAAGTGTTTTTGTATTTAGTCCTAATTCACAAGAGAATTTCTTACCCTCCACAGAAGAGAGCTACTTGTCACCGTGGGCTGAAGCTGTGGAGAGCCCGGATTCAGTGGCAGCAGCTGTGTCGCCAGAAGCCCTGCCCATCCTTGAGAAGCACCGGGCGACAGCAAGACCACAGGCAGCGGTAGGATGGCAATCTGTAGATGAAAGGATACAAATTTGATTACAGTATTTCTTATGCTGTTACTCACGTTCAGCCAATCGAATTTATGTTGAGCAAAATCCAGAGCCTGCTGGAGCCAGTGGGAGTTTTGCCATCATCTTCCCTGGGGGCTGGGATTTTGCTCATTGTTTAAATTAGCAGTATCTTCACAGGAGCATATGGGAGCAAATGCAAAGGTTGTGAATTGAAGGAACCAGTAAGCAGCTTTATACATTGACTTTGTTACACAGGTAAAAGCTTAGACAGCAAAACCCATCTGCCAGGCCTTCAACACATCTCTGTAAAACCCGTGTTAGAGTCAGAGCATTCTTTCTTATTTTATTTATGGCCCTGGCTGCCTGAATGAGTGCATCTGGAGCTCAGATGCCTTATGCCCTTATTGTAAATTAGTTGACTTGAAAAACTGCACACACTGTCAGATCTTTGCTGTGGAAATGCCAGGCTCTGTAGTTGAGGTGCTTTTGTGTGTGCGTATGTTTTTGTACGTGAAAAGGCTGTTGAACTTTATGCCTAAACACTGTTTTCTGTCTCTTTTTTCCTCCCTCTTTTGTTACAGACTGTGGACTAGCATTGAATATTCAGGGAAAGCTCCCCAGAGAGATTAGGGACACGGACAGATTTTAAACAGGGCCTTAATGCATGGACACGAAAGGACAAACGTTCTAGTGGGAATACTAATACTAATGCCCTGCTTTTGGGTCAAAATACATGAAACAGCTGCTTACATGCTAAGGATTCTTTTTAAATTAGTACAGAAAGGAAATTATAAAATGCATATGTAGAGAGAGATTTGCTATTTCCTCAGTGCAGAATCCAAAAAGAGTACTTTGTCTTAAAGCATACAACACTATCAAGTGTCAGTGCTAGAGAGAAGAGCATCTATTGTTCCCATTCTGCAGGGCTCAGAATTCCAGATATTGCTGGAACTTATTTCAGATAGCAGTTGTCAGTGTCTTTCCATTTGAGCTATAGGAACTAAGACCTAACAGTAGGAAGTAGACACTTTGACTCGAGTAAACTGCTGTTATCTTCAGTAACTCTGATATTAATTATACAGTTGCAGAAAATATTCTATTGCTGTTTCAAGAAACCTATATTAAAAGATATCCAGTGAGATTATTGCACAGAAAAGTGGTAACAGTATATATGTTTGGGCCAGCTGCTCAGTGACTGAACTGGAATGGAGAAACAGAAGTGGAGTGTACTACAAAAACTGGCGTCCTAGATCGGTCACCATCTGAAACTGAGTTACATAATCAGAAAGCGGCAATATCACAGTCACAGTGCTGCTTTAATCACCACGCAGTTGGTATGTCTCATTAAAGCATGTGCATATTAAAGGAATGTTTGACAGGTTGAAAATAAGCGTAATGCAAGTTAGAGAAATATTTCAAGAGCCTCATGTTTCCTCCAGTTGCTGAAATAAATATATTGCTGTATCACTGGCTTATGATAGGAACCTTAGCCCTGACTCCTCCTCACTGCTGTGTCCCAGTCTCTAAAATGAAAACACATATCGTTTGTGATATATAACAGCAGCTTCCATATAATACTTGCATCATTTAAGTTCCCATTATGGACCACATTTCATGACTAGTCCGCTTCATATGGCCCATTAATCCCAGTAGTATGCCTTTATTGCCACCATCCCGTGTTATAGTAATCCCCCAAAAAGCTGCCAATCTGTTGAGGCCCTTTGCTTTAGGTGCTGCGTGTTGGCAGCTGGTGCAAGCGTTTGACAGCCTCAAACTCCCCAGAATCCAGAAGTACCAACATTTCTTACGCTACATCTCAGTTTGGTGCAGAAGAACCGGTCTCCAGCGAGGGACGGTTCAG